GTCTATTATTAGAGCAGTACTAATATCGTAGTAGATCATAATTCTACAGGAGCAAACATGCACGACGGTGAAAGTTGAAGATATTCGTAATGGATTTTATGGTTCTAAAGTGTTTCCGAAAGCTGACTTTAAAAATGCTTTTCTTCAAATCCTTTTAGGTCAATCTTCATCTATTTTGACGACAATTAGCACTTCTTGTGGCCTATTCAAGCTCCATTTCCTTCCGTTTGGTCTAAGTTGTTCTCTATCCACACCAGGTAGTGATTAATATGGTATTCAGTGATCTTGAAGGTGTTGGAGTTGGTCAAGGTGGTTTCATTAATATTTTGATATCCAATATGCTTAAATGGGGTCAGCAACAAGAGTCATGCTTACGAAGCCTACTGAAGTTTCTTCAAAGCGATGCTATTCCTCGAACTTACTCCCCAGTGTACATTCTGTACTTATCACTGGCGCATCACCTGTGGGTGTTGGTACGGTTTAGGGGTAGGAATTTAGACCAGCTATCTGTGTTTCAAGCACAATTAGTGTTGATGAGCAAAGTTATTTGCAATCTCAGCGCGAAGCACTAGTTGTGATTTGGACCGTCAAAAGACCTCATTAATATTTATTTGGAAAGAAATTGACTATTGTTACAGATCATGAAGCTTTAATGTTCATTTATCATCCTGAAAACTCCATTGCACGCCCGTCATCTGCCATGGTTCAACGATGGAGTATTGTTTTGTGTGCCTATGACTATACGATTCATCAAAGAGGTTCCAAATAAGCTCAATGAGTTGACTATATTTATCGGCAATCATTACAAGATAGATCTGTCAATACTTCAAACCGTTTGTTATTGCAATGTTTACCAGTGAGACATCAAGATATCGTCAAATAAACCCGTCGATACTTTGGATGTGTACTCAGTGCCACGCGAAAATGTTGGAATGCCAATATGACACGTAGATTTCCTGCCTGTTTTTCAAGGCGGTACGAGCTCACCACTACTCCAGATGGTGTTCTGTGTCTTAATGATAGTGTTGCTGTTGTTTCTTCATTACGTGAATCTGTTCATGAAGATCGTCATAGTGGATATTTGGGTGTTGACAAGATGAAGTTCCTGGCAAAGCTCACATGTTGGTGGCCAGAGATAAATGCGGATATATGTCGTGTGGCAAACGATTTTGGAAAGTGTTATAAGTTGAAAAGTCTCTCTTCGAATATGACTCCATGATCAGTATTATCTGATGCCTGGTAGAGAATTCATACGAATTACTATGGTTCATTTCTTGGCAGATACTATGCACATGTTATTGATTCGTTTCCGAATTGGCCTGAATTTTTTCACAACTTCATCAAATTTGGAATTCACAATCCGAGCATTAAGAAGGGTATTTAGTCGAGATGCGATTCCCATAGTGTTAGTGACTGATAATGGCTCTCACTATGCTGCGTATGCAGTTTTCGCGCCAGTAGGTAACAACCGTCCTATTGAAAGACGAAACCATACTAGTAGTGAATAGGTCTTTATTTTCTCGTGAAACGAGTACACGGTGGAGGGGAGGTTACTCGTTTGAACATATATTTTTCAACAATCAATATAAGACAATAACAAATATAATGCCTGTACAAAATAATGAATTGAATAAATAGTTAATCTCTCATGCTTTGACATATACTTAGATGTTTGAGGTTAACGCCTAACCAATCAACCTCAGCTGTTAAATTAGCTTTCTACTAGAATCGGTTTCCGTAGGAACGTCTGTTTGATTAATCTATCTATCAACAAACACCTCAGTTCTGCTTCCGCAGCTAACATCACTCACTTTAGTCGGAGATTCTTCGTTCTTTTGTAACTTACTCCTTTTTATATGTATTCGCTTTATATTACTCATCGTGTGTTTACGGGTAAAAAGTTTATGTATTCAGCAATAAAAAATGAATATAACGCTCATGTATCAAGAGTAAAAAATCTAAGGTGTGTGGATAGCATAATATTGCAGACTACGTTTTCTTGGTAATGTTTTTGCTAATTAAATAAAATAGGTGATGGGGTATGAAAAAATAAACCCTTTACTCTGTCCGACAATTATTGCGTCTTCGATGCCACGCTCGGCTACACCTCATTTCCAGGATTCCTTGCGGTTTGCGTATACCACACTATTATGTTTTTACACCGCGGCTTTGTTGAGGTTGTAGCCAGAACACACTGTTACAGTTGAGCCAGACGTTGAAGCAGTTAAAATATTATTGTTTCTAAGTCACCTTTGCAAATGTTTTGTGACACTGTGGTATGGTATGAATAAGGTATATAATTTATTTGCTCGAAGGTCGGATACCATGTAAAATCTAAATATATTATGGATATTTGATTGTCATTAACACTCATCTAATTGAGGAGCACAAGCCAGTCAAACTTGAAGTTGCGAATGAAGGGGTCTAAGGATATATTCGGAAAACTGTTGATGCTTCGAGATGTATACAACTTAAGCGGCTTAATTGTTGCAATGGATAAGAAATAGAGCGTATCCAACAATGATTTAATGTGGATGCTTTCACGAGGAGATTCAGCCAGAGTGCACTCAGTAAAATTTATGAAGTCAGTATCAAAGCTAAAGGCCTATAGACGTACATATTTTGGGGATTTATTTAACTTGTGGTGGGCCAAAAATTATAGTAACTCAAAAATGGTAAGAAAGTTATTGCATTAATGTTTTAATATATTAAATATAATTTAGAAACACAAGAAAAAGTTACGGATTATTACTTAAATTGACAGGCCTTGGCGTGTTTGAGCCGCATTTGGTGTAATAATCCACAATTACGGGTGATTAATAATTCTAATGAAATTTGTTATAATTCTAGCGTTAAAGCCAGATGGATATTTAATGAAAATATGATTGTGGTCTAGGAATGTAGATGACATATATTTTAGAGTTCAGTTATCGTAGCAACAGGCAATGGAGAACAAGCGATGTGTGTTTGTGAGTGTATTTGTGAACGGTTATATGTGTGTCAGGCTTCAACTAAACGCAACTCCATTTCGTAAACGTGGCAGCCTGCTTGGTGACCAATCAGAATGAAGCGATAATAATTATATACGACATCTTTGTGGGCAACGGCGGTCGGCTTTCCTCGTCCTGTGTTTTTTCAGCTATATCTTTTGTGTAACCACATAGTTTAATGATTCAGTATGCCAAAATACCGCAGTTAGTGTAATATTCTAAACGTTGGTGCTAAGTTTCTTCGATTTGACATTGTTTTCTGGGTTTTTGCTGCTGCTATTCAAGTCAATGTATTTCTTCAGGCAAGCTGGCTAGTCTTATGCTACAAAACGCTGATACGTTTTGTTTGGGTATTATTTTCAGATATCGAGAGCCGAAGTTAGTTTTTTTTAAGCTAAGATAAGTGTTGTCGTCAAATGGGACTCTAACTGTCCGCAGATTCGTTCCTAACTGTTACATGTTATGTTATCGGACGGAAGAGTGATAATGTGCGAAACCATTGATATGCTGATAAAATGTTTGAATGTTTATTTTTATTTATAATTAATAAATAGATGTCGAGAATGTGACAAAACGATTAGTTATGGAAAAAATATAATTAACTGTATACACTTTGTGCGGAAAAATAGCAGTTTTTAGTGCAAAAGCGAATGAATTTAATAGTGTATTATGTATCAATGATTGTTTGTTATGATTCGTTATTCGGCAAAATGAAATTAAAACTTGGGCTTCTTTACAGTTCTGCCTGAGAGTGTTAAACATGTAGGATTACTGCTTGTTTTTTTGTCTTCCTCTAATTTCGTAATAAATAATGGCAGAGGCTGTTTGTCTGTATTTTCTTGTCTTGCTGGTCTTTGCAGAAAGCTCGTTTAATTCTGTCTACAGAGACAGCTTCTTTCTTTTCATTTCTGTTAATGAGGAAGTGTTTATTTGTCCGTCTAATTACCTGATAAGATCCTTCGTACGGTTGCTTTAGCTACTCGAATGGAGATGAATTTACGCGTTTGCAGTTGTTTATTGAGTTGTACGCGATTGTTATGATCGCGCGGAAGTATTGCTTGACATTTTGCATAGTTTGCAAGTGGTGGCTCTCAAAGCGGGTTGGATAAGTTGACAATGTTGTATCAGGGTCTAGTAGTTGACCCGGTATTGTTAAGGTTGTACAATAGACTAGTTCGACTTATGTGCGACCATTATATTCTTTGATGGTTAAATGAATTCCAAGTAGTACAGTTGGTAGTGCGTCACTCCAATGTATCAGATTGCGCCACCAGTAAGCTTTTCATTTGGCGGTGAGTTTTCTCAACCAACAAATTAGTCACTGAATGGTAAGTTGTTGTTTTGATATGGTTCACTTCCGGAAGCCTGGTTGCGGCACTGATGATGGGGTGTGAGAATCTACATAGATGTTGAAATATCCTTCGTCGATAAGCTCTGCTAAAAGAGACTGCTACTAGTTGAAGCATCTCAGGCAATAGATGAATCAGAGAAAGGAATAGGCATAGGTTTAAAAATCATGTTGTACTTCTCTTTGAAGGTTTTTAGTTCTGCACCCTATACTTATAATTTAGCTGTGGTTTTGAGGTTAATATCCTGTTTATGTACAAGCATATTGATATCCATTCGAGAAAAAGTGTCGGTTACGATATTAAAATGTCCTTTTGATGAACTGGATATTTGTTGTGAATTGTGAGATATAATCCAGCGGTCGTGCTTCGCGTGGTAAATGTCGGAAATATGACGTGTTGAAGGAATAATATAAGGGTTTATGATCAGTCATTATTGTAAATTCACGTTCTTGTAACAGGAAGGCAAAATGCTTTGTTGCTAAAATGCCTTTGTCTGCTCTCAAATTTGACATAATAATTATCAAATCAGTGCTAAATAATGCTCCGGAAAGAAGGTTATTTTTCTAATAGTGACCCTCACACTGATTCTAGCTATCGTTCTGGTACAATGTTTAGTTCTATAAACAGGCATGAGTTACGGTTTGTTAAAGTATTTCAAAACAATTAATACAGTACATGTGCAAAAAAGCGGTAACATGAAGAAATGGTTGTTTGTAAAAACAAAAGGGGTAAGATCATATTAACCATATACATTTAATCAAGTTAGCTACAATTTTCCTATTTTCAAATAAAACGTGGTGCATTTTCCGGTGATCTAAGACTTATAATTTCCGTACAACTTGGTACAGTGAATGTACCCAATCCCTTGATTTTGTAGAAAATCTTATCAGTTTTGACTTATATATAAGCCTGATATATTTGACAAACTAGACATTGTTAATACCCAGTCCTCATTTTAAATTTTGAAATTGTATTGAGTACGTTTGATGATGTGCTTTAGTTGTTCTCCCATACTAGGGTTACTTCAAGACATACTATCTGTCGAAACACTGACTGAAACTAAGTATTTTCTTTTCTACCTATAAAATATTTGGTGGAAGATTAATCCCGTTATTAGATTCGTATTTTAAGGACGAGCCTTTTATTTTGCGCGTGCACTTTTCCCACAAGTTTCTTTAATCGACGTCTCATGAAAGATCAGTTTATATAATAATGACAAGTTATTCAGATTTTTAGTGTTGATATATCCCCACACTTTCACATTTTCCCAACAGGACAATTATTGATGGGGCGAAGATTTACGGAAAAAATAAATCAAATCCAGGTTTAAATTAAACTCATTATAGCTGATGTCATTTCGTTTCAAAAACACTAGCTCTCATTTTCAACCCTCACTACCGACTCTAAATATTAACCCTAATATCTCACACTGGTTTTTAACACCTCGAACTCTAGCAAATGGTTACACTTCTCAAAGGTTACTTCAGCATCGCTCAAAGGTAGTCCATAAATTAAACTCCCACCCGTTTATTTCCAACCATATTCATCTAAACTTAGTCATATTTCTCTAATATTCCGGCACCAATTAATGCGATATCACCCATTTACAATTTAAGTTATGCGGGTGACACGTTATAACAAGAGTGTACAACATCAGTATGCTCATTATATTTCTAAACCATATTAAGGAGAAAAACCAGCCTGTTGTTCTCTGGTTTCTTCTTGTACTCCTAGATGAATACAACAGCTTACCAGAGATAAACGATGAGCCTGAAAGTTATAAAATGTGGATTTATCGGTTTCCTTTTGAGAATATAGACTTAATACTAAATAATCTATTTATCAAGCCTTTGGTAGTTCTTAATGATCTTTCAGTTCTTCATTGTCTGATGTTGGGTCTATATAGATCTTTATGTTAAATGATCTGCCTTGTTCAAAAGACGTTTTTGCAACCGCCGTAAATTCTGGAATGATTTGTTTTTTATGCTTCATATTTATCCATAAACTCACTGGTCTAGCTTTACATTTCAAATCTTAAGACCGAATATGACCTACAGTTCTACAAAGTATTCTCGGAAGTAGTCTGGCAGTAATATGTTCAACCAAATTCGTTATCATGTTTATTATGATACTAAGTGGGGAATGATGATAAATTAGTGCTATACATAAGCGTCGGTTGTTTGCAAAAAAACTGTACTTGATATGCACGCCAGATTCCACAGACGTTTTATCAACCAATGGTTATGAAATCGTAATCTGAAAATTTGGTTGATAAATTATTTGACAAATCCTTCAATTTTGGAGTACCGGTTGTGATTTCTGTGGGTATTTCCAAAGTCTGTCTCGTAATTAGTTTTCGACTTACTAATTTTACAGTAGTTTTGATTACGTGCACAGGGACGAAGTAAATATAAAGTTGAAATCATTGTTCTGATAAATAAGGTAAGGTCTATTGCAACCAAAGGAAGCGGGCTATAAATGAACTCAGTTCTCACCCGTGAAAGCTCAACTATATTAAATTATAAACTGTGGTCCCAGATTTTCGGTAAGCTTTGAAATAAGCACGGATGTAAAATCAAAAATTTGTTATTTTTTTATTACGAGTATAGAAGATAATTATTTCTTGAGTAGAGATGAGGTTGCTTGAGGCCAAGTGGTTGGTCAAGTATGTCAACTTTTGTTGATCACGTTGTGGCTTATTCACGATTCTAGAAATTTCACTGGTAGGAATGTCACTCATTACGTTAGAAAACAAGTGTGGTTTGATTTTCGGAAGCTTAGAAGTGTAGGATTAGTTCTTATAATCCTTTCGTATACTGAATACATTATTGCTACCTAGCTTGTCACTCATAATGAACCCCATTCTGGTTACTGATTAAGATTGATCATGCACCGTTTCATCAATTTTTACGTTGATTGCATGTAAATATTCATCTGGTATTTTCTTATTTAGAAACAAGCAGTAATTTATGTGCCCTGCTTATCTGACAGATAGTTGTGCAATTTTTTTACCTGAATATGATAAAGTTACCTTTTAACCATTGAATTTTTCGGATTTTAGGCAAAGTATTAAAGAACAGGTGTAACAGGTTTCACATTGCACATGACTAATCAACTCATTAAAGCGAATCGCCTGGAAATTTCTATAAATACTAACGATTTTTACTAAGGAAGGGTGTTAGCGTTACGCAGTTTAAGAAGTAACATAATTATCTAATCATTCAAACTGGTTAAGTGACTGCGAAATTTATGTCACCGTAATTTGGAATTCTATGATTCCTATTCACCCAAGGCATTTTAATTTCTCAGGTTTTTTAAAACTAAATTTTTGGGATGACGACTCAAGCTTCCCAGAAAACAGTGTAATTGTGAGAAGTGTATCAATAATCGTAGGGAAGGCTATGAAATATAACTAAATACGACAATAGGGCCACTAGAAAATCAAGTTAGTTGATTTCGATTGAAATCACGAAAAAATCTGAAGTCAAATTCATTACATAAGCTATCTTTGTGCATTGTGTGTAAAAAAAACTATACCGGCTCGATTTGTAGCATACATTTTCTGTTATGTTCATTATAAATGAAGTTTCTTTGAAGCCTATGGAAATATGTTTCATGAAAATAAGTACTTTCTGGGACTGACTATACGTCATTATATAAAAATCAAAGAAGTGTGATTAAGGTGCGGTATAAACTGTGAACGTAGATATTTCTAGAAAGCTGGAAAACATAAATCATGATCTGCAGCCCGAAAGTTTATGATGACTTATCAGTAAGATTAGGATAACACTACTTGTAGGTATTCAAAGTCTAATTAATTATTTCATATCTGTGCTACAAAACTGCACATTTTTACCCAGACGTTATGTGATTTTTGCTGCAACATTACTTGAAAACTTCAAATGTTGAAGTTGGTGGACAGTGACTTTTCAAATAGCCTTGCTTCCGGGACAAATTGAATGATACTTTAAGACGTTAAACAGTATCTACGTCATTTTCTTCAGTTTTCATTACTAACTGAACACGTCAAAGATGTTTATAGAATATGGGTGTGGTATGAGGTGTTGTACATATTGATGATATTTTCATACAATATAACTGCAAATTAACAACAAGAAGGCGGAATTTTTCGGAGCGAAAACGAATATTCTTCAAAGCTATCTACAGTCAGCCACCCTCTTATAAAGTTTATTTTTAGTGTTGACTGGCAGTAACTACACATTAAGAGATACGTATACAGTAGTGTAAAGTTGTCATACTTCAATACTTACTTACGGTTTTGAAGTTTGACGGCGTATTTCTTAAGTACAGACTATTGCGTTTTCTTTAAACTAATGGAAATTTGTAACTAACCATCGCGTCATATTTGATAGCACTGAATTTATATATTGTAACTATAAAATGTACTTTTGCTTTATGTTTTTATAGATGCACATCTAGCTTTAAATCAAATAACAAACTACCGTAACCGCTTAGACAATGAAAAAGATGGTTTACTCGTCCAAGCTCTTAATCGGTTGATGAATGTGTTTCAAAGTAGACTGTTTTTGGGTCTACTTGGTAGGTTAAAGTATAATTTTTATTCTGCAAGACGTGTGATTGTTTAATTAATTAATTACAAAATATTCGTTATCGGAATTTTGTTATAAGAACTTCCAGTTCTAACCGTTATTATCGTTAGGGTCTCTTAGCAAAAATATTATGTCATTGAACAGTTTTATTTGTTAATTAAATATTGAATATGATCAAAGATTTAATTTCTGTTGAGCAATCTTATTGGTAATCTTTTAAAATATGCACGCCGTGATATAAGGGTAATATTCGAATTTACAACAATTGTATGAACAGATTTTCCAAAACAAATTGTAAATTATTAAGAAATTATCTCAAAATCACGGAAATATATTTATTGTTAATCCCTTGAAAAGTTTTGAAACCAATACTTCCTTCATGGGTCAATTATTTTCGTCGTTATTTGGGTTATTTTGTCCTTTCTGGTTAGAGTCCTCTAGATGAATTGTATTCTCTTGACCACATCTCCTCTACTGTCAAATGTTTATAGATTCAACAATTAATCATAAGGAATCAAGTAAACATAACATAGAATAGATTCACTTGGTATTCTTTGCTGGAATCTTCCCATTGATTTTTAGGACTGTAATTGATCAGTCTCTTATTGGTATATGTCCATACCCTACGTATTGCCCCGATATTGTCTTAATTCACGAGCCTTATAAGCAAAAATGGATGGTGGCCAGCAGTGGAATCCAGGACGCGTGTTTCCTTTTGGGACTCGTCATCTTGACGTACCTGCATCCCAGAGTTGATGTTCAACTTGAGGCTCGAACCCAGTACCGTTTGCTTCAAATTCCATCGCTTAAGATTTAGAGTAATGACGAGATAATCCGTACAGGATACAAATATGCCAATAAGAGACTGATCAATTTCAGTCCTAAAACATCAATGGGAAGATTCAAGTAAACAATACGAAATGAATTTAAACTTCACCCCGTTGCACAAGAAAGTGGTTACCAGGACTCAGTAGCTAAGTGGATAGCGCGATGGCGTTTAAAGCGAATGGTACTGGGTTCGAGTCTCAGAGTAAACATCAATCTGGTATGTAGGCATATCTAGCTGAGCAAAGAACTTTTCAGATCAGAGGCTTAGCTAGCTTATCGTTGTAAAATAAATGAATTCATCGGGTTAAATTCAACTGAAATTTAGGTGAGAACAAGTTTGAACTTAACTAGCAAGTTGATCCTAAACTGCATTTATTAAGTAAAACATAAACTGAATTTGATTCAAGTGATATTACTTACCATTTTTAAAAATTTATTTTTGGTGGTTTTTCACTAACTCTTTCCTTGCTGATTCCCCTACACGTAAACGGTTGCTCCTTTTCTCTACTCTCAAACACACAGCTACTTTATACGACTGTTGTTCTTTCAATATGATACCTTCTTCTTAGCATCAAGCCTATCATAAAGGCACTTATACTCAACAGGATTCAATTAAGTTTTTTGTTTTCATTTCCATAAATATTATATTCGAAATTTGAATTTCTCATAGGTTTGATGACCAAAGAGAAGGATAGAAAACTATTCATATTCAAGACAAAGTTAAGAGTGTTCCTGCAATCGGCCAAAATACATCAAAATAACTAAATCTAAGAGTTTAAAGCCTGTTGTCTTCGGTTTACAATTACATACCATGTTTTTAAAACGATAAAAATCACAAAACGATGATATAGAAGATATTTTATGGGACAGCTGTATATTAGGTAATATATGAATAGAATGTCAATGTTTCACATAGCACATACTAACCATTTCGCTAATTGTTAAGTTTAGTTAGGATAATGTGAATCTTTTGGATAGTATTCATACGATCAACAAAAACAATAGCTTATATGATTTAATTCAATTTCACTACCAGTAAACAAGATATATTTGTTACATAATGTTTCTCCTTATAATCTTAACATATTTTTATCTGTATATAGCTTTGATACCCTTGTGTTGTACGGTTGAAAAGTAGGGATTTTATGCTTAATCTCTAACACTAGTCTTATAAGTTATTTAAAAATGGTTCATTTTATTTTGTAACAAGAAAAATGTATATAAGGATCCAGATAATAATTTACTGGAAATATCTCCCTTGAGATCTAAGCAAAATATTTATTTGATATTGTTTATAGTAAAAGGTATATTCATTTAGAAGCATATTTAATTTCGTCAAGTTACAATGCGGTTTAATATATGCGTGGTAATTTAGATGTTGTACAAGCGTCGGAATTGGTGATAAAAAGAAAACGCCGGATTACGAAAAGAAAAAAGTCCTGAGTCTTGTGCTCAACAACCTTCTGTTTATTAAAATCACAGCTAAATTTTCCATTTATTAGTCTAAGTTATGTTACATATCATAGAGTATTACTATTACTATTAATATTATCATCATTATTATTTAGTCGTTTGCATTAAAAGTTCATGATACATTCGGGTTTTTAAAAAATAACCAGGGGTAATTTTATTTTTATTAAAGAAAAACAAGTCTGCATTTTCATACACTACTTAACTAGCTTTATAATCAAAATAACTATTCGTTTTCACTGGGTTTTTTTCTGTGTGTTAAAACAAAATAAAACATAAAGATATACAAGAATTTTATGAAGCTGTCCTATTAGATCCACAAAAAACGAAAGAAGAGAAAACATCAGCCGCTCTTGAAATCGCATCAAGGTGGGAAAATATATCAAGTCCATCATTGGTGGCCTCTACAACTGACTTGAGAATACCGCATAGTTTATTGAAGAAAACAGATTGTTTTGACAGAGCAGTAAGTATGACTGTATTAACCTATTTTTTGATAACCTTTCTAAAGAGATCCTTTTATCGTTTTGTCCATATATTATGATTTTCTTAGTATGAATTAGGTAAATTTATTCAAAACTCGGGTAGATGAAGAATGACATGTCTTGATTTTTTTATAATTCGTGGTAGGAGATTAAATATCTTAGAGACAGTAGTCATCCTTGGAATCATAGAAACACCTAGTTGACTAAAGTTGACAGTTTCCTACTAAATCACTTCAAATATTCAACAGGAAAGAATATATATATATCGTCTAGGTGCTTTCGTTTTAAAAGTAAAAGGTATTTAGTTAGAATATACGATAAAATATGACGAAATGTTTTTGTACGAAGCCTTGTCTTATATATTCAATTATCTTTCTTTATACTACACAATTCACTTGGCAAAGAAATTTTTACAGTGATTCCAAGGAAACGAGTTGCTAAAATACACTTAAAAATAAGTTAAGTAAATTCAACCATTTCAAAAGAATGTTATTAAGTTTTAGTTCCCTTTTAAAGTGCAAGGTCTTAAGACTGTGGCCTTATTTTTGAACAAAAATTATTTTTGGCAGTACTCCTAAAAACTCCACTTTTATCAAAAATTCCAATCTTTACTTTTATGCGATAAAAATCGCTATTAGCTATGAACCCATTTCGGGTACAATGACCTTTGCATTTGCTTCACTTGTTGGTTTATCTTTAAGTATGTTATCCTGTATCGTTTAGAAAGATCAACATTGTATATACAGATTTTAAATATCCCTATAAAAGACAGTCTTAATAAAAGTGCTTCTAAAAATGGTCACTTGTTATCCTCTTACCATATAAATGAGTTTTATTGTTGTATAATATTGGCTAGATTCACGTGATCCATAAAGTTGGCATCTTATATACAAATTATAATTAGAAAAAACCATTTACTAATCGACGAATTATCATGTGGATTATAAACAAATAAACACATATTATCGTAGTGACTAAATTGTTACCATCTACGTTCAATGATTATTAATGATGATGGAAGCATTAAAATTTACTTGGTTTTGGTAGATTATCAGTTAAGCAGTATAGAATATATGCGTAAATTTCCTCATTTCATTTACATTCTAGTAAATCTAATTTGAATGGTTTTCTGATGTATGTTTTAATGTAATATATTATTCTTTATACACACAGACGTTTTATTGTTTATCACAACACAAATTTGTAGCGTAACAAAACTTAGAATATTTTCTGTTTCAAGAAGTTTCTAAAAAAATAAATTAGTTTCCTTAATTGAAATCAGTTTTCTCACTTCTATCTTTCATTGATAAAAGTGTGAAGAACTTTCATATAATAATAACTATAATTAAGACTAGATTTAGATTAGAACTGTTTATATATATATATATATATATATATATATATATAGAACTAATGAACTATTCATCTTGTAACACTGATAGTTTCTTTTAGTAGTCTGAAAAAAGAACAGTGATTTGAATAAAGTAACATAAACTTCATTTTCTTGTCAATCCGTTACAATCGGTAATATTTCAATATCAGAACTGCAGACAAACTTTGAATATAGGTATGAATTTGCTGAAAAGTTAATAAAAGCATTATGTAGCTAAGGTCTGAAACAAGTAAAAAGGATAGAGTAAATATGTCTATTTCAAGCCCATAAAAGTCTCATGGATATAGTAAAGAAAGACTTTATGTGTAAAACTAAGTGATCGCGTAAGAAAATAACTGAACAAAAAGTAATCATAAGTAAGAATAAAATAAGCTAAGCCCAGTTAAAAGTAATTCCAATCGAAAATATATTTAAAAAACGACATGATGATGCAATAGGGTGTAATCAAGTAGGGGCTACGTTACCAGGACGGTAAATGTTATATTGTAAGTGATAGGTATGTCATTTCCTTCTGGTAAGTAAAAATCCGTCTCCATGTTTTTGAAATAAAACAAATTCGATGTTCACCAATGCAAAACGGTGCCAAATATCTATTCTTTATTTTGTTACCAACAATCTAAAGACAAAATTTAAGTCTTGTACAGCGGTATAATACTAATAATGGATTGTGATTTTCCTTATGTAGTCCCTTAAAACCAAAAGCCTTCTATATATGGGATTGACAAAATGCACTTTAACAACTGATTTCGCTGTTTAAAAGTAGTGAGTTCAAATGTTAATCTTAGAAACACACCTTTATTTTTATTGCTTATTGAATAGTCAATTCTGTCGAATTTCATAACTGTGCCTACTTAAAGGATATCATTCTGTAAGAAAAAACATGATGTTGCTTAAATAGATATTTTAATGACCAACAAAACTACTTTTGTGATTCCACTAAATCAGTGCTCAAAATTTTCTCTTGATATTATTTAGTTTATTACCTGTTTAGAATTCTGTATCATGTAAGCCATATATAAGTAAATGAAAGCCATTTAAAAAGACTTGTCTGCACATCTGGATTATTTATATTGCCTTGATAGTCTTAAATTTAAATATTCGGGTCATTTATGATTTTCCACTTTTTCAAAAAATAATGCCCTCATTCTATTATAATAAGTTTCTGACTCTTTAAAGTTTCATCGTTATGGAATTCAATCGAGTTAACCAAGGTCAATGACATTTTACCTTAGTGTATTTTATTTCAAGGTAATTTACGAATCGTTATAACTGATGATGTTCTACTTACTCTGAATTTTGAATTCATTCACCGAATGATATCATATCCTTGTAGTTACTCTATAAAGAAATTATTGATTACGGAAGTATGAATAATTTCACCTGTTAGCCCAGATTTTTTGATACTTTAATATAGACAAACAGTTGTTATTTTCACCAAAAGGTGGTGTTTATATTTGCAATCTAACGGCAGCAAACTGTCTATGCTATGCTTTTTCAGAGCAAAATAATTGGTTAGATTTTTTTCACAGTTAGTTCAATAAGTCTTAATGTTTTGTTCTTGAATATCAATAGATAAACTCTTTTCTATCGATTTATCTGTATTTATTTTAGCGCTCAATGTACCATATTAACTTGGATAACTCACAAAAGTCTTATTCATTACAACCTACTCAAATATCACCATATCATGATCTACATGTGGTCAACTTGGATAAATCATGGAAGCATATGGAAGCAGATCTAAAATATGAATATCAATCATCTAATTCGTTACATAATGTAAATCAGTCACCATCATTAAAGAATACGTCAGATAACCGACTAAAAAGAAATGCTGATACTGAATTTATAACTGAAAATCCTCTTTTTGTTGACGATCAGTCTAATAAGAAACTATATGATATAAAATTGTCACCTGATATTCCGGTGGCGAAACCACGTCAAAAACGTTTAAAACGACCGAAATCAACTTTGACTCATGAATTCGATGCTAGATTGTCTAGAAAATTAGATGAAAGTACTTGTTCAAATGATCTTTTGTCTATTCATGATGACATTCCACCAAATAGTCTTGAAAATAATGAATTGATTGACAGACAATGGGCTTTACTCAGTCGTTTGCCTGTTACTATGGAAGTTATTATTGAAAAAAGTTCTAAAGGATTTGGATTTAGTATTGCAGGTGGACATGACAACACTTTGGGTCCAGATGATAATGATACCGATATTTATGTGACACGAGTTAATCCTGGTGGTCCTGCAGATCATGAATCAGGTTTACAGTAAGTTGGATTCAATATTTACCTTCGTTATAAAACATGCATATATTATTACTTATTTTATCTACTAACAGCTTTGTTAAAAAAATCATAATTCTGATGAAAATGTTAAACCTTCTTTATCAATATTTACTTAGGTATTTTGGTTATTAATAGTATGACTATATTTCAATATGTAACTTTCTGTGTTGCCTTCCTATAACTTACTCCTACACCACCAAACATAACCTATCTAGGTGAGCGGTGGTTAGATATGCGTATCGCGTACCCTGGCCGCCATTACTCAATTCTTCATCTTTGTCGAGTATCCTAGACATAGAAACATCGTGAATATATTTACACCCTTCTCAATAGGAAAGTAATGAAACAATAGTCAATGCTCCACATTTTGTGTTGGATTCATCTCTGTCATATCCCGGAATCATTTTCTTTAATTTGTGTGTTTTATTATTACTGTGTTTACCTGTTACATTTTATTTCAACCAATAGTGGTTTGGACGATTATTTATCAATGCAATAGTTAACCATGTTGTAAAACAAAACAATACTAATGGCTACCAGAACAGTTCGACCTATTTACAGCATCTATTATAGGATAGCTAACTATATGATTTCAGCACATAGACGAAAAAAGGTGGAAAGATTATTAGCCTTGTTCCTAGACCAACAAGACATATATATATTCATACACTGTATTATTTCTCAAATATACACACGTGAAGTATCATTTTTGTTTTCTGTTGCCGTAATCGAAACCTCAAATTTGAAATTATTTTTTACTGAAATTAAGTATCACAGATCCGATTATCCCCTTAAACGAATAATTGGATATATTTTGTGGTTACTAACCAGTTTTTACACAAATTTAACATCATCAGCTATCAAATAAATAAATATTTGGATTCGATTTTCAGTATTTGCTTGAATATTAATAAAGTGTAAAATATGCTAAAAGAAATCTTAAGTATAAATGTACGTTATCTGACTTTTATAACTGATCTTTCTTGTATGCATTCAAAGACTTATCTACTAAAAAGGAATTTTATTCTTGGGTCTCTAAAAATGTTTTTACCATAAGGGTTGGATTACTGACTGCCTTTTTAATAAAAACAAACATGTTTGAAAGGTTCATACGGTAAACTAGGAATTTTGTGAATACTTAATCCAATTTCTGTGTTATTGTGTACATGCACTGAGTATTCCCTGATTATGAGCATATATGTATAACGTATATATTGCAATTTTGAAGCGAATGAAAATGCTGCTTATAAAATAAAATAGGGAACAGTGAGTAGAAGAATGGCAGACTTTATTTTTAAATTATTCAGAGATTAACTCGTACATCTGTTAAATTGACTTTACCTTATGAAACTTGCTTTCTTAATCAACTCCATCTTCTCATTGTTCTATCGAAATTTAATCACTTTTAATGTGTCCCTGTTTTATAGTATGCATAATATTCATATATTTATGTCTTACAAGATTTTCTGTTGTTTTCGTGTATTGCATTAAAATTACGTGAAAATACCTACATGATTAGATTTATTAATGTTCTAAGGCATAAATAAGGAATAATTCATCATCTTGTTCGTACATTTATTTAAATTTCTGTTCAAGAAAAAATTCTAAATAACGTTCGGTTGTAAAACTTTATCCTTTATCACTATTTCCTAATCCAACGTTTAGTTGTACTGACTTATTAAATATTTTTTTAAAACGAATAAATCTCTCAAAAAATGAAGAATATTTGAGCGAACAATTGTTTTCAATAACTTCATTATCAGGCTCTACAGTTATAAGTCCATAATTATAACGATATTTTACAATGGCCAAAAATAAGGCATGTATTGATGAATTTGACAATGTTATGTGTTAAATAATGGTGAACGTATGCATCTGTTACGATATATATATACTTCATAATTGTATTATCTGCAAATTAGAAAAGTCATTCAATAAAGGTCAGGATGATTTGGAGTAAAGTGTTCAGTCACAATAAGTATAATAGTATTATAGCAAAGTTGAAAATGCAAAAAAATTTTTGTGTGAATAAAATGCATTGTAGGAGAATTTAATCTTGTCATTTGAGATAATAATAATAAGATTGTTGTGTGAATATAATATGTAATAAGGAGGGTGTTATCAAGGTAATTACGATAAACGAATTGGGAATGATGAATGTGAAGAGTAAGATAGACATAATAAAAAGTAATGATAGTAGGGAAAAAAATTAAATAAATAAAAATAAAGGAAAGGGGTAAGATGTTTATAATATTCAGTCTAGGTATTTGGTGATCCAGTCGTAGGCCAAGGTACACAAAGAGGCTGGATATATTTTTTCTGGATACATAAATTTGGTCTTCTGGAGTTGATCCAGATGTCTTCGGCTATGTAAAGCAGTTGTAGTCTATCTCATTGAGGTAGATATTTTGGGACTTGATGTAAAACAGAGAAAGCTTCCTCTATTTTGATAGAGTGTTCACTATCTACCAAGTGAGAAGAATGGTGCTGTTAATCGATTTGGTAACTCCTTTTCCCAACCATGCTGGTACATGTTCACAAACACGCAAGGATAAAGCCCTCTGAGTACAGCCTATGTAACTAGCTCCACAGGAACAGTTGATTCCGTATAAACACATGGAAGAGCCCATCTTCGGTAACCTATCCTTGATTAATTGTGTGAGTACTGATTTAATTGAGAAAATTATGTGTAGCTTGGCGGCGTGAAACGTCCTTTTGACAGAAATAATGGCTATCCTGCTAATCTCGTTAAAAAATACCTCGTACAAAGTACTTAAAGGAATAAATTGTGACACAGTCAGTAAAAAGACCTTATATCTGAGACTAGACTTAAAAGGGGACATAGCGGGTGATATTTTAACACGTCGACTCAAAAGATCAGTCGAATTCCTAGTATTGATTTTTATTGCGGATTGATAGTTTTGTGCTGGTAGGAATTCTTTCCTATGTTGTGGTACATTTGTCTACTCATACTACTTACTATTAGAATAGAAGTGGTTGGAACATTGTGATTGGAAAGCGAGTGTTTCAACCATCAAGGTAATACCCCAAGAATCACCATAGATAAATCGTTCGTCATTGTTTTTACTAACATCAGTAACAATAGCGTTAACGCCATAAGTGAAGTATTTAATAGAAAACTAAAGAAAATACCACAAACAATATCAGCCTTATTATTTTCTAATTATCATTATCTTGCTAACAATGACCCCTGAGTTAGTTGTTGGAAAGCTTCTTTATTGTTTCTGGTTTAAGGTGTTTACTGTCTATTATTTTTATCGAGTTTAAGATTGGCTGATATGATTTCGGTATTGTAAATGTTGGTAATCGCAATTTCAGAAGAAACAAGAATTGACGTAACTTTATTTTAACAAAACAATCAATATTGTTCCTTCTCATATCGAAGTGATGTCGGAGATTCATGGAAGTCGGTATTGTGGATCGTTGATTGGGATTCACTGGCTAATCAGTATCATTCTCGCCTCAAGAATTAAAGGCTCTGCATAAGACGCTGTCTGAAGTTTAGATTGTTTACCACTGGGAAGTCTTATACTAAGATATAATAACAGCAAATAATCCCTTGATTCTAATCTGATCTCCAACTGGTGTCAGTTTATTGGGAAAATTGGTTTTACTCACGAACAATAAAGTTTCTTCGTGAAATGTTAAACAAATTAGTTGCTGTTTATGGGATAAATAATGTTAGTGAATATTGATATTTTTCTAAAAAGCTTTGAATGTTTATTATTTTACTTTTCTAAAGTTGAATTTATGCCTACTAGGTGGGCTATCTTTTCATTAAAATTTATTTTTTGTAAGACAACATCCTCTATCTGTATACAGAATCAAATACTGAAAGTTGTTTTCGATCTATTGCCAGGCTTCCTGCTGTTGTTTTCACTGGTTTCACAAAACTAAAAATAATACCTAAACACCAGTGTTTTTCCTCTAAGGTCGAAATATCTGTAAAGTTAGGGTGGCCAAAAATTATAAAATAGTCTATATTGAGTGGTAACTGGTGTCTTATTCTATTGTTCGTAGACTTGTTTTTAGTCTGTTGACCAAGTTGTAATTTGATCAATAGATCAAATGATAGATCTAGTTTTAAAGTCTGCTTGTTGAAGAAAATAGACAGGAAGTCCTGGTACTTAGGTTTCAGTAAATATTAAGGATTAGATACTGGGACGTCGGTTGCTACTCGGCAGCTGACTTGTATGGAAATCTCAGTCTTTAAGGAGTTTGATTTCGACTCGAACAACTCAATGCTTTCATCACTGATTTTAAAGCGGTGGCTCAGTGGCTGAGAAGTTCTGCTTTCTGATACTAAATTATTGGTTAAGATCCCAATTCAGTCCGGCATGAAAAATCAGATGGCATCACTAGCCTTCACGCATAGAGTATTCCTCAAAGTCAAGTAAATGAATAAATATCCGGCAAATAACACATGTTCAAGTTTTACGGTGAGCGTCAGTTTTTGTAAGAATTTCAGATTAGCTATTACGAATGTTAAGTTAATTACATGTGAAGCTGTAACTTTTACAATATTTTATGAATAATCTAATTAGCTTTAACATATAACTAGGAAACCTTATTCAGTTAGTCAGTCCGTCAGCTACAACGTAGGATCAGGCAAATATATGCATCGGTCGAAGTTGCCATACCTCATTAGCACAACAAGATGAACACCAAATTCATAGAAGTAGTTACTTCAACGGTAGTAATATATAAAAGAAAGATTGCATATAACGATATAATACAGGAAGAAAGAATTAATTCGTAGAAAGAAAGGTGTAAAGTAATTTTATTCTCACAGTTTAAGGAAAGACAGAGAGTGTATACACTTACATTATTGTGATCGATTTTGAGCCATGTCACCCAGAGTTTCCAACCATTGGTTACGATAGTAGCGCAGACCTCAACCAAGTAGTGTGCATCTATCAACATGGCTCAGACTAGAAGATATTGACTTCAATCACTGATGC